AGATCAAGACATAGGAGTTCAATATCATTTGCTACGTTTTGAATTGGTTGAAATACTTACTTTTATTTGATTGTTTATTATTTATTCATGTCTATCAACTCAACACGCATGTGCAATTGAAATCAATCATTTCATCAACTCAATGAAAATTGTTCATAGATTTCAAAGCAAAGGTGAGATTTTTCTAGTTGGAAATTTTAAATTTTAAATATGTTTTGCTCAATTATTTCAATTATGTGCTACTGGTGTGTATTTGTTTATGTCTGAGTAGGTAGCAATGTCAAAGTTGGTAAACTACTCAGATTACTTTTGAACCATTTCAAAGTAATTTCAAATTTAATCAAAGTGAGCAGGTATTTTATTACTTGGAATTATTGGTGAGATTGATGTTTAGAAAGTGTCATTCATTCTCATTCTTTCTCACTCATTGTAAACTTGCAAATGGGGCTTTTTTTAAAAAGTAACTACAATAGGTAGACTTTATTGATGTCAAGCTTGCTCCCATCGGTCTTAGAATATCCAGTATTGACTTCATACATTACACGCTAAAGGTATTGCCTTCTCGTCCTTTATGTGCGTAATTTTTTTGAGTGAAATAGAGTGCCAACCTCCTACGTCAGATCTAGATCTCGTCAATCATCTTCAATTCACGCAGTACTTCATCTAAGACCAGATACAATTAAACAAGGAGGCTAACATCTTGTGGAAATGCCTTGTGGACAGTTTGTCCATTCTGCCATCTAACCGTGATCATAAATACGTCACTTATGTTTTATCCAAGCAACACCGACTTCATAAAAGTAAAAGGTCTGCGAAGCCAAATACTTGTTTTTAGAGCTTATTCATACCAACATCTGAGGTCCAGTTTTAGCATGGGCCAAATTTAAACGGTTCTCACTTTTATTGATGATTACTCACGGTATATATGAATGTACTTTCTTTGGGTTAAGAGTGCTAATACATACTGTTTTAAACAATTTGTCATTTTAGTCAAAAATGTGATTCCGCATAAAGTAGTTGCCATCATTATCTACTTTTGACTCTGACTTTAAAATCAAACTTGCGCTTAGATTGAGATGGTGAATATTTGTTTGAGTTTTTTAAAACCTATTTTTTTAATAAAGGCATACGCTCATCAATACTCAAACTCAGCATCAAAATGGAGTTTTTGAGCGCAAAAGCCGTATTTTAACTGGAAGAACTCAATGTTTGTTTACTTCTCCAAAGTTTCATGTACATCTCTAGACTAACTGCGTTTGAATTGCAAACTTTTTGCTCAACCGGTGAGCTACTCAAGCACTTAACTTAATAACACCGTTCGAGAAATTCTATGGCATGTTTTTTTATTTATGTTTTCTTCATGTGATTGGAAGTCTGTCCTACGTTCACATACCAATACAAAAGCGCACTAAACTATAAATGAAATCTTTTCACGATGTTTTGCTTGGGTACAATGAGCAATCACGAGCATATTGTTGCTGGAACTTGCAAAATAAGAGCATAATTGTGTCTGCATATGTAATTGTATTTGAATTCGTACCATAGGATTTTTGGTCAAATCAATCATTTATGGAAGTTTTTTTCTCCCCTATTGATGATGATTCTACGCAATCTACTCCGTCATCATTAGAGGAAGACAATTTTCATCTAGCTGATTTCACGCCTTCCTTGTATACTCATCAACCAGACCTACCTCAAGCTCAAGCACTGCTTAAGGCATACAACAGTCCTACGAACTTTAACATTGCTACGGCCTCTATTGTGTCAAACATGCCTCTTATACGACGTAATACTCCAAGAATGCAACAACATCCGGCTCACTTTGACTATTATTACCTCTTTGCACCTCACCAATTCAATGTTGTTGAGACCATCCAACCGATTAATGATCAAATTTTATTCCACCAAATGAAGCTTCAGCTTGACTATTGCAAAACAATGCGGGAGGAATTTGACGCTCTTATTTCCAACCTCACTAGAAAACTCGTTGATCTTTTTTAAGGTAAAAATTAATTAACTTCACGCTGAATCTAGCAAGCAAAATATTAGATTAATGCAACATTGATTATATTCAAAGTCAGGCTTGTTGCTTGTGGCGTAGAATAGACGTATAGAGTGAACTACAATGAGACCTTTGCTCATGTAGTCCGCTGATTTATTCTTTGAACAATGATAGCACTATTGTTCGCTCTTGGTTGAACTTTGCATCATATGTATGTTATCACTTTTTTTAAGGTGTTATGAGAGTTGATCTACATGCAACAGCTCTCAGGCTTTGAAAAAACAAATAAAGAGCACTTTGTGTGTTTGTTGAAACAATCTTTATATAGACTCAAACAATCTTCTTGATTGTTAGTGGTATGAAGAAATTGACACGTAACTTTGCTCCAAAAAATGAACCAGAAGTTAGCTAGATTGCAACTTATATTTCTTATGTGAAGATAAAACTATCATTATATTTTTACTAATATGACCTAATGTTTTACAGTAGTTCTTCTTGTGTCGCTAAGATCAAGGCTCAACTTAGCTTGCGTTATAAAATGAATGATTTAGGTATATTTTCTTGATATCTTGGGGTGGACATTGTGCATATCAATAAAGAAAGGAAACTTTATGCATCAAACTAGCTACACTACAGATTTACTTAGCAATTGCAACTTAGACGTGTTACTCATTGAATTAGATTGTTCTTGAGGCACATACAAATACGTCACTTGTTGACATCTCAAAATATTGTCATATGGTCGATAAGCTCATTTTTCTTTGCCACACCCACCTTGAAAATTTGTACGTTGTTGGACTTCTTAGTCGGTTTATGCATAAACCCCATATGGTCACTTGAATGCAGTTCAACATCTACTACGATACCTCAACGGCACTGTCAACATTAGTTCACTTTACAAAAATGAAGAATTGCATATCCAAGACTATATTGAGACAGATTATCTTAGTTGTTATAATACATGCCGATCAGTTGAAGTTTATATTCTTGAACTCGCATGCGAACCTGTATCTTGGTCGTCAAGCTATAGCCCATAGTTTCCGGTAACACAATTGAAGCTGAATACAAGGCCTTGTTGGAAAAGGTCAAAGGATCTTGTATCTTATTTGCTTAATACAAGAATTGAACATCCTTCCTTCTCTGAAAGTTTCACTTTCTTGCACTGATTCTACAACTATTCACCATCTAAGTGATGCAGCAAAACCGATCATGACAGATTTGCATCTATTTGACGACAACTAGAGTGCTATTAAGCTAGCCAAAACCCTCTGTTCCACGCCAAGACACTTTCTGTTTAGAGAAAGTGTGTTAGAGGGGGGAAATTGACCTCAAGTACATTCACACTGAGTAAAGTCATGCAGATTTGCTCACTAAGTCAATACTTAGACACAAATTTGAAAAGCATAGGATATTTTTTGGAGTTTGCCCGTTATATAACATTCATGCAATCTCTTTATAACACTAGAAAGCAATTTTTTTTGTGTTACAATTTTGTCACTAGAAGCCACATAATTCCATTGGGTTCCTACCACATCCGATGATGTACCTTAATACATAATGTTAATATCCAATGTGATGCCATTAGAATTTTACGGTACTACCCTCGAGAGGTGCTGTTGTTAGTATATAGTTACGGAGTGCAATATATTGATCAGATTAGTAAAATTTGTGTTGTGTTAGAAGATCTAACACAACACATACACTCTTCTTATCCTTCTTTGTAGGCAGGTATATCCTTTGCTAGGTAAGGACTACCATGGTCTCCCATTTAAGTACAGACATTGATCATTTGCATAGAGCTCCAATGTCCAAGAAATTGAATATCAAATATCTCAATTGTGAGATAATTTCAAAACTGAGAAAGTAGAATACTCTAAGCAAACTCGCTTTAGCACGTGAGTATGAAATTAATGATGCATCTAGCAATTAGTTGACAATTTTCTCAGCCCTTGCGTTCGCGGATGCCAAAGATCTCTAGTATCTTTGGCATCACGCCATTGTTTTTGTGGTTATCTGTCTATTTGCAAGCGCTTACTTTCCCCTCACACTCCCATTTAATAATATGCGTACCATGCAACATATGATACTCCCATTTTTTCCGGGTGTCAAGATGATGTTTCATTTTGCCCTAGATGTATCATGATATGAAGAAGCAAAAGACTAGATTATTGGAATTAGATATTTGCATCTCGGACTTTTAGATTTATTTCTCTCGCGTTCCCTTGCTCCTTGCCCCAGTGCACTGAACGGGCAGTAGTCTAGTCTCGACTGTGAAAATTACAATGAAATGTTGAAATCTCTAAAATTTACAATGAATTCGCGCAAAATGTTGATCACTGAAAATCTTTTGATAAAGTCCATACTTAATTGGGATGCGGAGTTAAGTGGGAGGCTACTGTACTCTCACTAATAATATATCGAGTTCAATTCTTACTTCCAATAGAATCAGTAACAAGTAAATCGAAGTTGGGGATGGGCTCCTCGGAATATTGCAAAACTAAGACTGGCTTGCAAGTTTCAGCACTTGATTGTTGAAAGTACCCGATATCTAGATTTTTTGTTATGGAACGGAACATGCTGAAAGTAGCGAAATGCGGCACATGTGAAACTTTCGATGAGCAACACTGGACGAGAATCGTCTACCTGTTGCCACATGTCATCGAACGTAAACTCAATGCTGGTGACAATGAGATGAGGGTGACGCAAAGGATATTGCGATCTCCACGTTCCTTCTTGCTTTCTCTCTTTTTTTGGTGGTTACAGGTGCCGTTCTATTTCGTTGGCTGTGAACTCGACCTGAAATCCTATTGCTTTCTTCGCTTACAAGAGCCTTCTTCGTAGTGAAAAACTCATATCTTACCAAATGCAGTGATCTTCCAAACGATTCTCGAAGACGAAAATCGGGAGGCCGATGCCCCAAAAAAGGCTATCACTTCATACGGCATCAAAACTGGAGTAAGAAACGGAACTTGAACCAAACTGTAAAGGAAAAGAATCTGCACAGTTTCGACTGATTGTGAAATTAGTGACGAAAGCCACTGATTATGTACATATTTGGCTACATATGCTAAACCTGACTTTTCCGGGCTGATCTAGGAGCTGCATCGGTTGGTTTTTAGTTTCCCGTATTGTGTGAACTTCGAGTGAAGAAACTAGTATCTACCAAAACAGGCGGTCCCCTCTGCCCTGACTGAATCCTACTCTAATATAAGACAGACTCATGATCACATCAAAGGGAAAAGCAGTTTCGCTTTTCCGCAACTGTGTGCCAGAGGACCCTTCGGGCCATCTGAATTTTTTTGATCTCTTCATACATTCGAACTTCTATACCAAGACTTCTCTCTCACTCAATGCGCTTCTATGCCTACAGGGTCCGAGTCTGATAGTTTACAAGTACAAATCATTGACGAGATCGTTGAGCAGCGACACAACTTGTTCTGCACCACACTTGCCGTCGTTTTACAAATCAGGGAGTGCTGCTGCTGCTGCGAGGAGCTGAAATGCTACTGAATGTATATCCAAAATGTAGAAACCTAACGCTAACTGAACTAATGGGTGTCCTACTTCCCTAGATGTACCGTCCCGCTAGAAAACTAAGTCTAGCTGAACTAAAGGGTATCCTCGTTCCCCAAATGCCACGTCCCCGGAAGGGCAGAATACACTCGTCCCGTGCGTTTGGCAATCCCATGGCAGAGCACGTAATTGGAAGGCCAGTTTCGCGAGGAGCTCCAGAATGCGTCATCCCGATGTCTATGCTCAACTCTCAAAATTGTCCGGTATATCTCCGCCAATTCCTCCATTCCTTCCTTCCTTCCTTCGCCGCTGCGGTACCAAAACTATCGAGCCCTCGGAAGTAATAGTGATAGTAGTAGTTGAAGAACATTTACACGCGCGTTTGGCAATACCATGGCAGAGCACGTAATTAGAAGGCCAGTTTCGCGAGGAGTTCCAGAATGCGTCATCCCGATGTCTATGCTCAACTCCCAAAATGCTCTCCGCCCATTGGAAGTAGTTTTCAACCAGCAATTGACGCGTCTGGGTTTCACTTCACTGACTGTGTCATTGCCCCAAGCGCAATTCCCCCATTCCTTCCTTCCTTCCTTCGCCGCTTCGGTTCCAAAACCATCAAGCCCTCGAAGTAATAGCAACAGTAGTAGTAAAAAACAATTACACGCGCACCGCAAAGCCTCCATCTGCTCGACTAGCGCTCAATCAAAGCCCACACGCCTCACCGCTTGTCGAATGCCATGCCCCGGGCGAAATCACCGAAATTTTGCGGAACCGACGCCCCCATAGCCCCTCCTTCGGCCGATTCCGCTCCACCGCCTCAAAGAAAGACTTTCATATTTTACAATCCGTGACATGCCCTGCCATCAAACGAGCTCAATCCGAAGGGGCAGGGGGCGGCGATTGGATGCGCTTGAGGCGGGGGGCGAAATTGGGCCGGAAGGAATTAACGAGCGTCCAGAGGCCGCGGCCGAGGAGCCAGCCGGCACTGGGCGAGACTGTCCAGCGCTTGGTGCCCAGGTGGTAAGAGAGCAGCTTGTCGCCATAGCCGATGCTCAGGTACTCGCCGCTCCAGGCGCTAGAGGTGTTGATGCCGGCGCCAAGCGAGAGCTGCGCCAGCGCTGCAGGCACTTGCGCCACGAAGTCCCAGCGCGGGCCGGCGGGCGGCGGGCTCTGGTCCAGCTCCCAGATCTGGATGCTCTTGACCATGTTTTCCGTCCAGACGCCGCCCACCATCATGATGCGACCACCCTGCTCGGTCAGATGCGGCGTGGTGAGCTCCGGCGGCATGCGCACGTCGACGGGCTTCCAGGCGCCCTCGGTTGGGTCGCACTTGAACAGCCGGTAGACCTCCGGCGCCAGGCCCGGCGCGGCCAGGCGCCAGAGCGCGAAGACGCAGTCGCGGCTGAGGACGGGCGTCGTGCTGGGGAACCAGACGGTTGGCGCGGGCGCCAGGCTGCGCCACGACGAGCTGAGCGAGTCGTAGACCTCCATGCGGTGCGAGCAGCCGACCAAGACCTTGTAGTGCAGGACCTCGTCGCCCACCAGCAGCGTGACGGCGCGCTTGCGCCCGGGCTGCGGGTGGGGCATGGGCGGCAGCTTGGTGTAGGTGCGCGCCACCGGGTCGCAGACGTAGAGCGCCTTGAAGCTGTCGGCGTCGCTCTCCTCGACGCAGAGCAGTCCGCCCGCCGCCGCCCGCCCAGTGCCGCGCACCGGCAAGAAGCCCAGCGGCAGCCGGTACCACACCTTTTCGCGCGCGTCGTACATGAACGCCGCCTCCACCTGGCAGCGGTGGTACACGAGGAACCACGGCCGGTGCTGCCACGTCTCCACGCACTGCTCCGCGAAGTCGCGCGAGTCGATGATGGCCTTCCAGCCCTTGCACACCTCCCGCTGCCGTAGCCACGTCAGCGGCCGCATCCTCGCCAGCACCTGCAGCTGCAGCTCCTGCGGCAGATCGTCCCACCGCGTCGGCATCTCTTCCTTCTTTCTATTCTATCGATCTATCTCTCGAGAGCTGCTCGAGGGCCGAAATCCCTAATCTCACAAATGCTGCGCTACGCTACACTAGGCCTCGCCTCGCGGATTTTCTGGAGAATTCTCGAGCGGTTTGCGTCGATGGCCGACGGAGTCGAGATTCACGCTGGGCTGGCTGACTGACTGTAAGAAAAGCTACGAATCTGGAGGTGCTATGTGGAAGAGAGGGAAATGTGCAGACTCCTCTCCGAGCGAAGAGAGTTGGTGCGCCAGCCGACTGGGACTGGCTCACCAACTGTTTGTTTGGCCGCCTCACTGACTTCGGCGATGGCGATCAGCTGCCGTGAGCAAAGGTGAGGATGGAGACTCGGTGACGAGACCAGTGGGAGTGCTTTTGAAGATGGATCAGAATTTTCGCGTTCTTGCCAGAGGATCCATCGAGTCTGCAGGCGCGGAGGCTGGTGTCACGATCCCATGTCGAGAATCGGTCGTCGTCGTTGCTTAGGCGAGAAATGTTTCCTTCAACAGGATTGAGTCAGGGCTGTTGTGGGAGGCCGTGGCTGAAGCTCGTTGTGGGAGAGAGCAGCACTGGAATGGAGAAAGAGGAGAGAGAGAGAAATGGAGCACCAAAATGAAAGGGAAGAGAACGAAAGAAATTGAAAGGAAAGGAGAGGAGAGGAAGAGAGAGCACGAGCGTCGAGGATGAATGTGGATCGGTGGATCAGGCTATACGGATACGAAACGTCTAATTGAACCTCCCTAACTCACAACGAATGTAGAACTGTTGAGAACATCGTCTTCGTGGTTGAGGATGATGCATAGATGTCACGAGACCCACATGCTTCAGAACTAGAACGAAAACAAACCGTCGTGGAGGCTAAGAATGTGCATCAACTGCGAATTGAATTGCCTCAACTGTTCGGCGAATTCCTCGTAAAGACGCAAAACGGAAACGAAAACGGCGAAGAAATGGGGAGGAGGATGATACACACAAAGCTGAGAAAACCACTCAAGAGGAAAACAAACGCGGAAACACGTCTGATTTGAAATGAATTTACAGAAGACAGGAGCAGTTTAGAGACTGCGAGCACCCCATCTTCCTTAATATACAAGCCACGCTCAAGCCCCAAAGCAAGACCCGGATCCGGACCCCAACCCAATCCCCATATTCTCCACTTCCTCAGCCACCATTCCTGCACCGTGTTCTCTACCTCCTCAATTCCCTCCTCCAATCCCTCCCTCCCTCAATTCCTCACTAAACTACTCACAAGCGTGAACACAACGCTCTATTACGAGAAAAAAAAAACCATTCCCTCTCCAGAATTCCAGAAGCAAGCCCACTTAACGACATTCCAAGGCTCTTGACTCAGCAACACTTGATTCCGCCAATCACCCAACAGCCCGTCAGTCAAGCGGGCCAGTCAGGCCATAGCTTGGATGGAAGGAGCCCAACCCCAGTCCAACTGCAGCAGCATCAGCCAGGCTGCTGAACAGTAAGAATTACTCCCGTTCACTCTCTTCCATCTCATGTTGCTTCACAGGTGCTTCCCTGCTTGCTTGCTTGCTCGCTCGCTTGCCCAGATTGTCAATGCTCCTCCTTCTCCTCCTCTTCCTCCTCCAGCGGCAACACGGGCATGTTGTCGTGGGGCTTGTGCAGCTGCTGCTGGAAGGCCTTTTTGGTTCAATTCACGTTTCTATCCTGTAAATTTAGTTCTGTCGCGTACAAGAAGTCCATAGGTTGCAGTGCAGTTAGTGGATTTTTTGGGGACAGTTCTCACATCAGATGGCTTGCTGGCTTGCTTGCTTGTCCATGAGCTGCTTATTTGTGCATGTTATTAAGGGTTGGCTGCCAAGCAAGTGAAGCCTTGTACTCAAGTAGAAAGCAACAAATTTCCTGCCTATAAAAGGCAGTCAAGCATTCCTGCTGCGAAGCAAGGACAGCGAGGAAGGACAGTCTGAGGACGAAACTCAGTTCTCCAAGTCTGACTTCTCCGCTGATGCTTCTTATGCTGCTGCTGCTGATTCATCACCTCCTCATTTACGTCACATGCTCAGGGGCTGAAGTAAGCCACAGTGCCACAGTTTTGACTGTTGAATCGCGCACATGGTGTTCATGCCTTCTTCCAGTGATATTATTACCTGGTACCACGCTTCGACCAGTTAGTATCGGAAGGCATGAAACTGGAGGAAGGTTCGCACAGTCTTTCTAGTATATTCTACTGTATGCTGCATACTCCAAGAGCAATACCTGGTTACCAACCACAGCCTCGAATTCGGGAGGATATTGTATGGAGCCACTTAGAAGAAGGATCACTGAAAGATAAAGACCATTCCCCTTCCTCATACTCGAGGCTGTCATCTCGGCTGTTCAAATTGTGTTCTCTTCTGACCCCGGAGTCAGATGTAAGGCTTCCTTCCTACTGGACAGAGCCCATCGCTCTTGCTTCTAATTTCCAGTTTGTCAATAATCTTATCACCATTCATACAAAAGATTATGTTTTTGTACATTTTGAAATAATTGATATACGAAAAATTTATTTACAAAAGTAGAATGTTATTTTTCAAATGAATTTTTGTATCTATGTTATAATGAGATAAGTTTGTAGCCAGATTTCCATTTCAATTCCTCAACATTACAAATCCTCAACATTACAAATCGGATGAAATTGTCTTGATTGATTTGATCAAATTCCAAACATAGTTGAAAAATGTTTTTTTGTTGTGATCAGAACATGTTTTTTTTTGAACATGTTTAGTAACTCTTTGTGTTCTTCATCAATATACTCTATGACCAGTGTTTCTTGACATGCATTTGCATCCAATGTGTTGTTTGTGTTCTTCTTTAATTTGACCAATATCCTCGGAGATCAATGTTTCTTGACATGAGTTTGAGATTGATCCATAATGTCTTTGATGAATTATTGCATGGGCAACTTGACAATGTCTGCAGTCCAAACTCACAACACTTCAAGCTCACAAGCATTGTTGCCTGAGTCATGCTTCGCCTGAATCATGAACGCTTGGATTAAAATTGATAAATTGAAGTGATCAATTTCCTTCATAATGTCGTTCTTGACATTGTCATGCATTTTTTCAAACAAATTTTGCGCCCATGACTATCAATATAATTACAAATCAAATCAAATCAAATACATCAATAATTGTTGAAGAGCATGGATTCCAAATTTTTATCTTCAACATCATCAAGGACACCAATCTGTGTTGAACAAATATTGATATTCGTATCGATGTTTGCACGTGATGCTTTTTCTCAATGTGTAGACAAATTTGCCTACGGTTCTGTAAAACTCATTTGTGTAGATTATCAAATGCAATCCATCTTGTTATGACTTTGTGACATTTCTAACCTCTCATGATGTTGATCAGATTGACTCGCATCCACATGTAAATTGAAAATGCATGTATTGTGTTTTAGATATTTTGAACGTTGTTGATTATTGGCATCACAACAAAATTTAGCAAAAGAGTAAATCATCAAATGCAAAAATATTTGTTTGAATACATACTCATCAGTCGTGTAATAACTTTTTTGATATATTTCATCATTGTGTTTTGTCATCTAAGCCATTAAAAATGAGTTTGTCAATCCAGATTGGACAAAGCATGTTCAACAGAAAACTTATTAACTTCACGTAGTTCTAAAACAACACTAATAGTACATGTATGTTCATAAACACATCGTCACCACACGTTCAAATTTCCAGATGCACCAATAGTGTATTTTGATGCGTTGAAACAAAAATGTACACAAAAACAACTTGCACAACATTGTCAAAATGAAATGGAAACGTTTTTGGTACAATTGCAATGTAGGGTAGTGATAATAGCAATCTATCTAAACAATGAAACTGCTTTTGTGTGATTAAAAGAAAATCAAAATTGCAATGAGTTTTTGATGATGATGATATACTTGTCAACATGCTTGTTGATAAGTTTGAACAATTTCATAGCATTTATCTTTGAGATTGATCCTATTTCATCGTCATCTTAGTTTCAGCTCTGGCTTGAAGATTAAATCGCCAACAAGATTATCAACTATTTTCATGTTGAGGATTTTGAAAGTGACAACTTATCATTTGAGATCTACATATAAATATATTCCAATGTTTGGAATCTCATCAAAATTTTTACTATTGTACTTGAAAAATAAATGTAGGATGTATTGTCTTGAAGTCAACGAACAATCTAACACGACGAACAAACTCAACGCATGTTCATTTTTTCAATAAATATCCCTACAAGTTATCTCTCTATGTATTTGTTGCATGAAATTTCCAAGGTTTGGTATGGAAGCATTTACAGATTTAAGTTCACCATGAAAAGAAGTTTGTCGTATAGAGTTCAATCTTTTGATTTTTTTGACCACATGATTGATGTTGATGAAATTCCAATTTTTTGTATAATTTGGAAACATCCATATCAAAATAAAAAGTCTAATATCTTTATTTATAAAAGTTGAGTGTCATATTTCAAATGATTTTCTCTCTTATTCTATAACTTACAATTCACTCACTTTGCAAATATTGAGATGAATAAACCATGATATCTAAATGTTTTTATTATGAGGCAGATTGTTACATTAGCTATGTCTTCTTTTCTTAATTTGTTCCATAGGATAAGACTGAAATCTTTAATGTAAACCAAAAATTTAATTGAGAAAAGAAATCGTGAACAGTAATCACATTTTTTGTGAACAAAAACATATTTCCAGTTATCATTATCATCAGATTATGTTGATCAGTACTTGTAATAGCGATAAATTTTGATGACATTTAAAAAAAAAATACTATCAAATAAGCAACTCAAATCTGGATTTCTTTGATAATTGCACATGGCAAGTTCTTCACTCCTTAGTTATGAATCATCACACATGCAGGATATCACGAATGAATCCACATGCGGGCATATTATTGTGAAACATGGATTTCATGCGAGATTGTCACATGTATTCGAAAGATTCGAAAGATGGATATGCTATACTCAATGACTTAATCCACTCAACATCAGAGCTTAAAGAAATATACCTTTTAGATTAAATGGACCCTCAGCATAAGTCATTTGCTCCAACAGTCTACACCATAACCCAGAAAACCGCATGGAACCGAATCTGGATTAACTTTGCAGGGAAGCAATCGAAAACGAAGTGGAATGCCGAAGAATGCGATGGTTCTGTACCTCGGGAGGGCCTTCACGAATGGCCAACATCGAGCGAATATGTGCAGCCCGCCACAGCCCAAGGTCTCGTCTCCTCTCGCCACTGACGCATTCGCAATCAGATTCGTCGATTCATGATCGACTGACTGTCGACCGACTTACCACGTAACAGATGAAATGATGAAAAGCGCGAGGCCTTCTCTCACTCAATCCATGAACCCTAAACCCGGTCCGAGAGAGCGAGCGAACGAACCGCACCACGTGAAGGCAGTCGCAGTCGCGGTTGAAGGCGCCATAACAAGCACCGTTCACTCTACTGTACTCCCCGGAGCCCCCTCGGGCTCCGGAAGACGCGGAGGAAGCGGATAGAATCGTCCGCTGGTGCCCCCGTCGTCGTCCGGGTTCCAGCTCGCTGATGTGGCCCCCGATTCGTGCCCCCGCGCATTCTGACAGAACTCCTGCCCTCGGAATTCGGCTATGGTGTCCTCGCCCTGAGGTAGGGCCCGGGCGATGCGATGCTCGCGAGGCGGTCGTGAATCGAGGATGAGCCTTGCAGCTTCTGGCTTCTGCGTCCGCGTGTGCCAATTCCTCGGCACTTCGACGATTCTTGTGCTTGCGCATGGATTCTGATTCGCTTCTTGTTCAAGCTCGGTGTGGACGCGGCGGCCCCTGAATCCTAGACGAGCAAAGGTCAGGTCAGCATCTTGCAGCTTTGTTGCTTTGCCTTGCGTTGGGTTCTATGGCTCATTCTGTGACTCTGGCGTTCGCGTTCACGTTCCGCCATACGAAATGGATTGTGATGACGGGTGGTAATAATTGATGTGGAGGCGTCTCGCATTCTTGCGCCAGAGACATCTCTTTTCTCAGAACCTCGTCCGAGAACAATCTTTCTTTGTGGACATTGATTCGGTTTTGATCCCATGTGAAATTCGCTCGCTTTTTACTGACTCCCCTGCGGCAATTCCGTCGTGATTAAACCCTGGGGCACTCCATGTACATGTTCGCACACGCTCGTCGGTGTCTCGGAAGAAGCACGCAACTTCTTCCTTGCTGTGAATGTTGCTAATCTCGTTCGACTCATCTTGTAAGACCGCGAGCGTCGTGTTCTTGTTTCTGGGCGGAAGGATTGAATCTTCTCGCCCTGTTGCAGGTTAAAAGCATGCGCGGACGAGGGCTCAAAAGTCATCATTAATAAACTTTGGAGGGTCTCTCGAAGGCTTCATCCATGGCCGGCGGGCACTTATGCTGCGGTCCGGCGGTGCAATCTGCTGCTGCCATTCCAGTGCACCGATTTGTGGAACAGCTCGCGAGGGCAGGTCGAGAGGTGAAGCCGGGATTCGCTCATAAACCTCGGGGTTTAGCCTCAAGACCAGTCGAAGCATGTTCGGACGCAGGGTTCCTCGCATCTTCGAGGAATGGGGTGGTGGGCTTTTCACGCGAGAGTCTGCCTGTGGAAGAAAGGGTCGAGCAGACGAGCCGTGCTCTGGGAATTCGTCTCCCACGAGGTCCTTCGGCAGGATTGGCTCCGGTGTGGGGGAAGGTGCCGAATCGGAGGGGAGGGAAGATTCATGCCTTCCCCACTGCGGCCGAGAGGATGAATCCTCCGGCGAACAACACCGGCGGGAGTAGCCCATCTGACAGGTACAAGAAGTTCGGAGCGAAGGTGAAGCAGGCTCAGGTGGTCACGGATGCTCCTGCAGTGGAGAAGGGCAAGTACCGCACGGATGTGGAGAATGCCATCAACAGCCTGAGCTCGCTGCCTCCTCGAGGCAGCATCGCCAGGTGCATGGAAGGGTTCAGGAACAAGATTTCTCTGAATGACTTCAGTCTGATTTTCCGAGAATTCGCCCAACGAGGCGACTGGCAGAGAGCTTTGAGGCTTTTCAAGTACATGCAACGCCAGCAATGGTGCAAGCCGAATGAGCATGTGTACACTATAATGATTGGAATCATGGGCCGGGAAGGCATGCTGGACAAAGCCTCCGAGCTCTTCGAGGAGATGCCCAGCAACGAGGTCGAGTGGAATGTGTACTCCTTCACTGCTCTGATCAACGCCTACGGACGCAATGGGCAACACGAAGCCTCTCTGCACCTGCTCGCTCGAATGAAGCGAGAACGAGTGACTCCCAACCTCATCACTTACAACACTGTGATCAATGCCTGTGCCAAAGGTGGCCTCGAGTGGGAAGGCCTTCTGGGTTTGTTCGCTCAGATGAGACATGAGGGTATACAGCCGGACATTATCACTTACAATACACTTCTCAGTGCCTGCAGTAGCAGAGGCCTCGTGGAAGAAGCAGGAATGGTGTTCAGAACCATGAATGAGGCAGGTGTGGTGCCCGATCTGGTCACCTACACTTCGTTGGTCGACACATACGGCCAGGCAGGGCAGTACGAGGGAGCAGCTGAGCTTCTGAGGGAGATGGAGAGGGCGGGAAATGTTCCAGACGTAGTGGCCTACAATGTTCTCATCGAGGCATACACCAGAGAGGGCGAGGTGCAAGCAGCAGCCAAGGTGTTCAAGCAAATGCAACAGGCCGGCTGTGCTCCGAACGTGGGGACTTTCAGCACCCTCCTCGAAGCGTATGGCAAGCATGGTCGATACGACGAGGTGAGGTCTTTGTTCATAGATATGAAGGACAGGGGAACCGAGCCCAATGTCGTGACCTACAACACTCTGATCGACGTTCTGGGTCAAGGTGGATACTGGAAAGAGGCCGTCAGCATTTTTCAGGACATGATCGAGGCAGAATGTGACCCCAACCTGGAAACGTACTTGGTATTGCTGTTTGCTTGCGGCAAGGGAGGCCTCCACAAGGAAGCCACCAAAATCTACCGCCACATGTGCCAGCAGAACATCAGCCCGCCCATCGAGGTCTACCCTGGCCTCATCAACGCCTACGGCAAAGCCGCCATGTATCGAGAAGCAGCCAGTGCGTTCCAGAGCATGGACGAGTCCGGCTGCGAGCCAGATCAGGCCACGTACAATGCTCTCATTGAGACCTACTCGTCGGGAGGATTGTTTAAGGAAGCTGGAGCAGCTCTATGGACTATGCACGAGGCCGGGTTCCCTGCCGACGTCTCGACTTTCAACTCGCTCATCGAGGCGTATGGGAAGAATGGCATGTTCGACGATGCGGTCGAAGTGTTCCGAGACATGCAGGAAGCCAAGTGCCCTCCGAATCAGCAAACGTATGCCACTCTGCTGAGCGTCTACTGCACCGCCGGCCTGTTCGACGAGGCCAGGGCGCAGTTTCTGGAGATGAAGGAAGGTGGCCTGATTCCCGAAGTCACGGCCTACTGCCTGATGCTGTCCATCTGTGCCAGAAGGAACAGGTAGGCACTCTCTCGCCCGATTGCTGTCAAACTTGCTGTGGATTGGATCTTCTGATGGGACCGGAGCCACGAGAGGTTGCCTGGATTTGTAAGTATGGGGAGGGCAAGGACCTGAAAGCTCGATGATGGCGCTGTTGCTTGCAGATGGGAGGACGTGGGGAAAATGTTGGAGGAAATGCAAGGGCGGAGTATGCCAACGCTGCACAGCATGGTGGCCGGGCTGATGACGGGCGAGTACGATACGGACTCCAACTGGGACCTGGTAGAACACGTGCTGGACAATCTGAAAATCGAGGGCGTCGGACATAATCTGGAGTTCTACAATGGCCTTCTGGAGGCTCTTTGGTTCTTTGGGCAAAGGAAACGCGCTGCTCGATTGCTCCAAGAGGGCAGAAAGAGGGGCGTTTTCGTCGAGGCGTTTCGGAAGACCCGTATGATGTGGGCCGTCGATGTTCACAGGTCCGTGGACTCGAAACATAGACAGACCCACACAGAGAAAGAGATATTTGTGTCATATGTTGTGCCGTGTAGTTTTTCTGGAGGTTGCAATCAAGGAGAAATACAGTTTGCAAGCAAAGGAAACTTCATTTCTCCCTCCTCCCCTGTACTTCCACTCGACGATACCTTCCCTTCCGTATCATCTAATATTGACTGGATTTTCTTATCTTTCATCATAATCTGCAGAATGTCGACAGGAGCTGCGCTGACAACACTCATAATGTGGCTTCTTGACATGCAAGAGGCCACCATGTGTGGAGAAGAATTACCGCCCCTTGTTAGTATAGTCACGAAGTAAGTATCGATGAATCCATCTGGTGTTAAGAAGTTCATAGTTGGGACAAACAGCTGTTTGTGTGTCGAACCCAAACCACGGGTCGCTTTAAGATTAACGCTAAGGATGCCTTACAGGACTTAGACCAAACGGTTGATTCCTGATGCGTCGTTTGCGGGAATTGTGCAGGTGGGGTGCTCTAGACGAGAACAAGGACTTGAAGGATGTCCCCATCGCTAAGGCCGTCCACAGCGTGCTGCAAACCTTGGGCGCACCCTTTGGTTTTGCTCCTTGGAACCTAGGCCGTATAGTTAGTCGCGGACAAATACTTCAACGCTGGCTTCAGGATTCCTCTTTTCCAGACTTTCTGGCCCTCGACAACACCCGACTTCCATTATTTGTTCCCAATTATGCCAAATCAAATCTTGGCAAAACAAGGGAATGATAGATTAATAAAGGTAGCATTCAATTTTTCACTGTTTGCAGTTGTATTTGTTTTGGTTGGGTTTCTTTCTCATTTTCACTCCAAAAGAATGTTTGTCATGTGGCTGAGGAGAATAAATTTTTACTAGTCTGATGAACACATTGATGGCGTTAGAGCTGGAATCTGAACTGATCGGGACTGGAAAATCTGAACTTACCTCGCAACAGAAAATGTGTTGGTACCTGTTATCTTCATATACCAATAAAGATAGACCATGAACAGGTGGGACGGATGTTACTTTTACACCAAGATCTAATCTACTTCATCTTCGCCTCCTCAATCTACTTTATCTTTGCCTCCTCGAGGTAAAATTACAATTAACGGCAGTAACTTGGCAAGAACTAGCACAGCATCTTTTAGATTAAACGGAAGATATTATCTTGAAGAAAATTACCAAGTACGTACAGGATGTTTGTCGTTACTCCCCATTGCGATGTTATGACTATCCAAGTATCACGTACCTCATCCACTCTCGAGGGTTTTTCGTCAATCGAAGATAGAGAACATAAAACTTACACAATGCGGACGTCAGATCGATAATGCTTACATTCAACAAATGATATTTTACTACAGGTTGAAGGAAACCAAAAAAAATACTCAGAAACATCCTTGACGAGTCGACTATACACATTATGGTTAGAAGAGAAAAATTGCTAATCTGACAGGGTTGGAATTTCCTCAACCTCTGAATCTTCCAATCGCGCTTCTTCTGTTCCGGCATCCAATACCTCCTGTCCAACAAATTCAGTTCTCACTAGATCGTCCTCTGTATCTATTCCTACATCCTCGCTATCGGAGTCAAGATCATCTTCGGCATCTATGTCTTCTTTGGACTCTGGTTTGTCTTGTTTCTTAAGGGTAAGCTTTTCAAAAGCAGGCTTATGTAACGGGCTGTTAGGTTTCTCACAAATACAAGCAGCAGGATTTTCATGGAATTCACCCCTGCCTGGACGCACTTCATTAGGATCTCCCATAAAACCCTTTTGATGGTGACGCACCTTCAGAGCAAACTGCTCCCAACCTAGGGCCTCCCTTGTAAGGAAAAGCGGAGACAATTTCTTGGGATTTGGACGGATCGTACGCTTGTGTCCATTGTAACGCCTGCAGAAGGAAGCATAATCAGAATCTTGCGTAGCGGACGATAATGAAACTTATATCCTGAATCTCTTACATATAATCTATTTTTGACACAACCAAATTAAGATACCTACCATCATGAAGATTATTAACAGACAAATGTTGAAGGAAATGGACGTGGTAAAAAGTCAACCTTTTAAATCTTACAGCAACTACAGAGGACTTCGAATCCGAACTTCACATGATACACACCTATGACAAGGTTCGTCTATGCGAGATTAAGAAAGAAATGACCATAACATGAATTTGAACATTTCGGCGAAACACATACCTGTGTCCGGCCAGTATGCGAGCCATATTTCCATTGTTATTGGCAACAAAAGCATCACTTTCGTCGCAAACAGTATAGTCGATCGCCGCCATACGAGAAGAGTAACCCTGGAAAGGAGCTAACTCATCTTTGGTAGCAAGCGTCTCCTTAGTGTAGTAATTTGGAAAAAGTGCTTTTAGTGGGGCTAAAGTAGCCTCACCACCATACACATCACCGGAAGCGACGTACAGGTGGCAGTCTTCTCCGAAACCCAAAGCCCTCAGCATGAGGCCCACCTCCGTCGGAGTGAGAGGACATTTGCCATTCCTTCGCTCCTTGTCAGGATTCTTTGTCTGACACATTGAAGCACAACAACTATCAACAAAAGCTTGGAGGACTGACCTAGAAGCATGCCAATACATTTAACGTTTCATAACTGAAGCCTAGGGCTAGTCCTTGAGCAATCACTTGGTAGAAAAGGAAGTTAATGAGCGATGACAACCAGGAGGTGGGCTTGGAGCTTTCTGTACAAACTTTTCAAGCATTCCTCACGAACCACCGTGTGTAGTGCACTATCTAACGTTTCGGTGACACATACTCCATAGACAGACAGTTGCAGGTGCCGGGCGTGAATTACTCAGGACGGTAGCTCTCCCATGTGGATGCAAGGGAGCCAAAGCGAAGCTTCGATCCCTCGTCCATGAGGCTCGTAGACGAGCAAGAAAAGGAGCAGCCAACAGTCTCACTGACGACAACCATGTGCAGCAGACCTTGTCAAACGCTAAACAATAAACTTTTGGACGAGGGGACTATGCTGTTAACGTCATGAATCACCAAAAAAGGTCTTAACTCCTTACTGTATGTAGAACACTAAAGGCACCTTGTCCTTCGAAACACTGACATACCAGTCTTATCCTAGTTGTATAGTCTGATCAACGCAAGAGTACAAGGCCCTCCCCAGCATGTATCTCTTTCAAGGCATCACCGACTAATATATGATATGTGATAAGGACCATCAATAATTTTAAGGACAGGAACATTTCAAATAACAGAAAAAGCAGAGGACCCGAGGAATACATAAGGAGCCAGCCAAACTGGAAAAGGTCTAGTCCCCATAGTCCATACGTACATGTAGTGTCTTCCAGCGTCTTCGAATAGCACCCAGCTCTTTCCTTTCCTTGTCGCCTCCACCATAATAGCACCCAGAAAATGCCAGCATGTCTGGTTCATATCTGAAGAAGAGAGAATAAAACAAAGTTGTCCGATGAGACTGCTTCTCGGTTCTAAATCCAAAAAACGCTTGAAGGAGGATACCATGTTCACAGATTTCATCACATGAAATGAGACACCTTGTTGCGACGACAATTTTCAAATCATGGCACCTGAGATGAAGTGCAATATATCGACCACCGAGACGCCGCATCCGTTCGACAAGAATTTGACCCATCTTTATAATGGGTTGGGTAAAATGCAGGGCTTTGTAATTGACACGACATCTCAGCTTTTGCAAGTCTTGCTCTAGCCGATTTGAGAGCCTGTAGTCAAACTTCGTCAATCGTAACACCTGGACGCATGCGTAACACGATTGAGCGGGTTAGCTGCCGCAGACTCAAACCTTGAGCATAATCTACTCAATAATCGTGCACCTGAGACGTTACTAAAGATCAAATCCTAATAAAAGAACCAAGACTGAAAACAGAACACGACAAGGACCCTACTTGTCTGCTGAGCAATTTTGGCAGCACTCTGTTTTCGTAATAAATTGGAGTAGCTTTCCTTGGTATGCGCATGGGATAAGGAGAAGAACTCTTTTCAATGTTCCGCGGCAATTTCTTTAAGATCGGCACATCTGGTACAAGTGTCGATATGAACTTTTCGACATCGAATATGTCACTAAAATTACTGCAAGATAACAATAGAAGTCGTAAATAGAGAATCAACAACTTGTAAATTATCAATAATCATATTCCTCAATACGTGGTCCATAACATGCTTCTGACTCAACAAAATAGAGAGGAGCAGCATTCAGCTACACGGTGCTGCAACTATTCAGGACCACCAAGAGCAGATACATTGAAAAATTCTACTTTCAGCACGTTGTACTCTTCGTATATTCTAGCACGTTGCAAGAAACCTCATCAATCACCATCATTGCTTTCTGAATATTACTGCTTTCTCGACTTACGGATTCCATTTATTGAAGTACAAACGGACCAGATACGTACTTGTTTCCTTTTGAAACAAGTACGTTTCTGGTCACAAAGCGATATGAAGACACAATGCTCTAAGGCGGAGAAGGTGAGATTGAACCTAGGATCATGCCAGAATGACTTGTGGTCGAGCACTGGTACAACTAGTGTTGCATTCAGAATCCGAGCTACGACTACTGAATCCGTAATCTGAATCAAAACAGACATAACATACAAGGTGTCAACCCTTCTCAGCCTTGATGCAACGTTTTTCAAGGCTGCTGCAATACTGGAGTAGTAAACATAATATATCCACCAGCAACTTGCTGCTTCAAAGTTTAAATATTAGTGTATCTTACCCCAGTTCTCTGTTGGTTCAAGCCACCACTGGCGTCAATCATGATATATCCATTTTGTTCGATGTTGGAAAGGGCTGCAACAGCAAAAGAACTCTAGTCAGACACAGATGTGGCACGACTGCATTTCTATGGAACAATTAGAGCTCTTTTCTAATGGTCAGGAAAGGTGAAGGACGACATGCTTATGTTCCAAATACATATTCACTGATATACTGGTCATATAAATTATACACATGAAGTATTCACAGTCGACGGTAGCAACTGATGTGATTGTTTCGTTTCAGTCGGAAACGCGCAAGGTCCTGATTGAAGTGTTTTATTCACGATAAGGTTAGGCCAAGAATCACGTACAAATATAGGAGTCGCTAGGATCACTGCAGCCATAGTAGAATTCGGCGTACTGTGGCTTCCAAACATTTTGTATAGTTGGGTCTGCTTCTCTCTGTTCCCAACGGCACAAGTGGAATTGGTGTGATATATAACGTCAGGTTCTTTGCATATGCGAAGAAGTATGAAATATGTGAACAACATGACATGAACTCGAAAGCAATTCCTATATATTCACTGACATTGGACCACAAGTCTAATTGTAAGTATTGAAACTACCAAGGCCCAAGCTGACTGGAATTCCGTGAAACAAACAACTGACCAGACGAAAAACGACCATGAACCCAATAAGTCTTTTAATGCAGATAAAACAGGGGAAGTGTGCGGCAGGATCATACCGGCACATCCTTCAGTTCTGGCAGCTCATCATGAGTGGCAACAGGCTTCTTTCTTACCTGCACAAGAGCATAAACAAAGATATATAACAATGCAGCTCTACTCAGTTCTCAGTTCATCTCCAGTATAAGTGAATTTCAAGAAGATACAGCGGATGTATGAGGTTGTGGAGCCCATAACAAACAGGCAGAGATGCAAAACAGGTATGAAAGAGATCGGAGCAGATTCAATTCTTACTTGCGTGTCGAAAACTTGGATAAATATGTACAACATTCTTTGCCACTTAAAATTCTTTTAGGTCTGCAAAGTGTCCACATTCTCATCTAATGCCCAAAGATCCCAGCTCCATTTGGTGGTTCTTTCACGTTTCTGAGAGTTCTTTAATTCCGAAACGGTAAGATTGAGAGGAGTAAATGACACCACTGCAGATCCACAAGATGATCCGATGTCATAACCAGATGGAAGAGCAATGCCGCACCTGAGCTGGTACTACATGCGAAGAACTTCTAAACTCGGCAACATTAAACGGGGGTCCTCCCAAGCGATAATGTAAACTCTCCACGTCAAGCAAGCGACTCCCGACGATGGAAAGCAGAGCCAAAACCAACAGAGCGGAACCGCACACCAGTGCGACTGTGGACAGAGCGGGCAGTCCACCGAGCTTCAAGCGCGAGCGACCAGCGCGTGCCATCGTTCAACCTCGATAACACTTGCCCCGCTTGGTCGAACCAGCGCAATGCCATCGCCTATCCGGCGCGCGCATGGAGCATCTCCACCACCGGCTCTCCACAAAGACGAGCTGCCCCAATTCCACCAAAGAATCTGCGCCTCATGCCACCCAAATCACCTCCGATCTTCCCGTCCGCTCCACCGATCCGCCCCAACTCGTTCCTCAAAATCTCCCTCCCGATCGCATCGTGCAGCTCCATGCAGACTCCGCCTGCCAATTCCCCAGCAATTCGCCCGCAAGAACGCCCCGGCGATTTCAAACTCCGAGCCCGTTGCTCTCGCCTCCAGCTCCCGCGGTGGCAGCCCCGCACGCGCCATCCTCCTCCATAGTCGGCCTCGTTGCGTCGAACTCCCGTCCCTCGGCAGCGCGCGGATGGACGGATGGAGGTGCCGGAATTATGCTGCTCACGCTCCTGAATTTGAAAATTCGGATCTGTCTGCGGGGAGCTTCGGGCCTCGACGAGGTTGCTTTTCCTTCGGGTTTGGTTGCGCTCTGACTGCAGACCTGCGCGCAGCTGCCGCAGCGGATAGGCGACGCACCACGTTTCGTCCGTCCGAGTGGCCGAGTCCAGTCACTGACTGACCTGGACCCAGTGGCTCTGAGTGTCAGATACACTTGCCACTTCTGCTGATGCCACTGGACTCCCGCAAGTGTGACTGGACCTCCATCCCTAACGTGGTTGCTGCCTGCCGGTTCAGTCAGACAAAGCTACCCTGTGAATTTGGCGTGGCAGGGTAGGACTGTACAGTAGAACCTTCATATTTTCTATTTTTTGCTCGCTTGTTATTTTATCATTTTAAGCATTTTTTGTTGCACGATTCATTCTTGCTTTTAATATGACTGTCATGTCGCCTCGTTCGTCTAGAATGTATACGTGCAGCTCTTTGTTGACTTTGCCGATTTGGATTCTATTATCCATTATCTGAATTTACTTTCTTCGAGAACTGAGTGACATTTTGGCTGGCCAGGTTTCGCCAGATCTTCATATTTGCAGGTAACAAGTGAGGTTTAGTTGAAGACCTCCTTAGGTACATGGTTCAAATGTTCATCGTTGTCTCCAAAGAGGTACTGTCATCACGTTTAGCGCCGCAGTACTTGCGTGGTCTTGCAGGAGGCAAGTGATCATAATATGTACCACTGATCTAGTTTCATATGAGCAAATACAATAGACTCCCGCTCATATACGCACCCCTTAAGAGATATTTGCTTGATGGAACCTATCAAGAACATATTTGCTTGATGGGACCCATCAAGATTCGTTTTGCTCGATGGGACACCAACGACAGCACACGTCAGACTGTTCTAGTATGAACAAACGGCGTGAAGTATGGCCAGCGGCTCGCTCCGCTCTGAGAGCGGAGCGAGGAGGACAAGGCCCTAAACGACCGCACTTCCCCCCTCCAAGGGTGACTGACTTGAGAAATGATGAGACGAGCTCGCTCGAGCGTGGGAGCTCGCCGGTGTGAAGCCGAAGGTTGTGTTGGCGGTGGTGGGCATGAGCAGCGACATTTATGGGCTCCCTGCTGCGGCTATGAAGTGAAGTCTTGATCGTCTTTTGCACCTCGGACTCGACGGTGCCGGAAGGGGATCGTCAGGCAGCGGATATGGAATCTCAAGTTATCCGGAGAAGCATGAGGTTTTGGCCGTGATGGAGTATTGATAGATAATCCAGTGTCGGTACGGGTTTGATCGGGAGCTCAGATTGGGTCGGCAGACCGCAAGGCCTTGTTGCATTGGGTGCGTGTAGAAGCAGTTATATCGTTGCGTGCCACAGCAAATTTGGGGATGAATCGAGCGGTCCGCTCGGTGGACGATGAGCGCCATAGAATGTTTCTCGGCCCGGCTTCCGGATTTTCTGAAATATGAACATGTTTTTAAAAGAAAAATACAAGAACAAATTCATATTAGAACATTTACTAAAGCTCATCGACGGCACGCCGTCTGTGAAGTCCCATCGGGTAAAACCAGACTTGATGGGTCTCATCAAGCAAATATGTTCTTTACGGGGTCCCAACAAGCAAATATCTCCACCCCTTTAAGTATGCATTATCTTCCCCAAAATATAGTATTCAAGATTTATATTGTTCAGTATGTCATAGATTGTATTGCGCGCAAGTTTTGAAGATTCTTGCTTTTGGAAACCAATTTTTGTTTGATGTGTACTGATATAGCATTAGAAAGCTATAAATTGGTAGTATGCCAAAAGAACACAACTCGGTATTGACCGTATTGTAGATGTTTAAGGCAATAAACATTCAAAGTTTCCGAAAAGTTTTCAGCAATCCATCATCAGATTTGTTGACTTCGGCTCCTAAGGCCCACGTGGCGGGCCTTAGGAGCACAAGCTGTACAGTCTGCTAAACCGTCGCAGTGGACCCCCGACTCTCACATGGCAACGACTCGAGAGAGCAAGTCCTCCCCGAGCGTCTCTTGCTGAAGTCGAGTCTGGGGTCCACTGCTAAACCGTCGCAGTGGACCCCCGACTCTCACATGGCAACGACTCGAGAGAGCAAGTCCTCCCCGAGCGTCCCCGACTCTGAAGTCGACGACGATGCTGATCATCGCAGGCCGAGTAAGCAGACAGCGGACAAGTAGTGAAGCTAGATGAGGTTCCCATGCAGGCTAGAATGTAATCATCGCTCACACCGTAATGCAACACCTTTTGCAACCCTTAACGTCTTGTGATTGATTTAGCCATCACCAAGATGTCTTAAAGTTTGTTTTTGAAATTAATAATCTTATCGCAATATTTTCTACTTTGGCAATGTTAGAATAGGGAGATTGGCATGATGCATGTTCTTAATCCACATATAAAGTATGTCTTCAAGCTCAATGAAACAACCAACAAAGTTAAATAGTCTTCTATTTGGGTTCAAAAGATGTTGAGTGAGATTCTTTTAGGATTTGCTTCTACTTGTCTCAATTATTTTTGATAGTTGCTTTACTAACATCGTACTCGCGTGCTAGAGCCTTTTTACTACAAGCATCGATGTTGCTTAACTTCTCTATCATATCACATTGTTGAAATTCATTTAGACAAATCCATTTAGCTTCTTTGACATTGCAATCAATTTAGAAAATTACAAAGTGAGTATTACTAAGTATTTGTCTAAATACTTATCTATTGAGCTAAATATATATTATCCTTTTAGATTTAAGATGCGTACTTAGATGGAAGTCTAAATACGTACCTATTTGCTATGTACGCACTATCTTTCCAAGTTTTAGATGCATATTCAAATGAAAGACTACTATACAATTATCAATCCAAAATATGCAATGATAGGCAGACATGAAAATAGTAGACAATGAGAGAGCACGAGGTGATGATGTGGTTCACACTTCTCAAGATTACGTCCACGGAGAAAAACGCGCTAGAGACTTCACTACTATGGTGAAACCACAACAATGCGTACAGTACATAATCATCAGGGTATATATATATATATATATATATATATATATTCAACACAAGCGGCCAATCTCATTAGCCAAACATGAGATTACTCCTTAACTGGAGTTAACCTCAACAATCTCCCTCCTTAACTCGTGTTAAGAAAATAGTAACCTCTGTAACCAATATTATTACTCTGCGGAAAGTTCTAAATTAAAACCTAACACAATGTTCCCTTTAAACGAGAGTTAACTATAATCAAGCCGTAGCTTTAACAGGATTGAGTAATAACATATAGAGTTAACAAGAAGCTTGCTAGCATAGATAGAACAGAAACTTTGTAATCTACAAATTCATCTGCGAGAAAGAAATTCATTCATCTAGAAAGTTACCTTACACAAGGCTTCTTTTTAAATAATAATTAAGTAGAACTAAGTCGTAGTCATCACATGATAGAGTAAATATGTGAAAAGATGATTGAAGATACTATGTTAGGAAAAATCTAAATGTGTTCTCCATGCACAACATGCATAGTAGCACAATGTCACCTGAAATTTTCCAAAGAAATAATTTTGATCAACGCAACATTTGGATTGAGTTTATCATCAATCTTGACTAACTCAATTGTTTTCTCAAACACTGCTTGTCTAATAAAGTGATATCTAATGTCGATGTGCTTCACTCTGCTATCCATGACCTGGTTTGCAGCCAAATGTAAAGCACTATGACTATCAAAATGAAGATCAATCACGCCCCACGTCAATCTTATCTCCATGATAAGTTTATCCAACCAAATAGTTTCCTTTGTCGCTTTTGCTGCTGATGCCACATACTCAGCTTCCGTTGTTGACTGACCTACGCACTTCTGCAAGATAGATCTCTAACTAATGCTTCCACCATCAAGTGTAAACACATATCTACTTGTACATTTTTTTTGTCTACATACTGTCATGTAAGACGGGATGTTGTATGTGTTAAATAAAACTAGAGCTAGCCAAGGAATTATGACTAATTCTAGCTAATTATGACTAAATTTATCAACTTATAATTATGTTTAGCTATAATGTTTGTTCTTGGCATAACAACCAGAGAAGTTCTAGAAGATTTGATTGAGAATTTCTATTTTGTCTTGTACAAAAGTCTTAATTCCAATAGAAAAGAATTCCGATTTCATGTTTAGTTTTGATTGGTTTGACTAAGTATTGGAAACTTCATTGGTTAGACTAAGTCCAATGTTATCAACCATAGCAAGATTTTAGAAGTTGAAAAGTCACAATAAGTGGTGACATGCCATTTGTCACTAATAGGAATACCTATATAGGAATAAGTAAACATTTAGAATGTTAAGGAGCCTAATAGACTTTAGCAGTAATATTTTCACTTAAAAAGTTTTGACATTATTTGTTGGATAAAAAAATCACTATGGTATTGGATCATAAGGCTTTGAAATATATTTTCAACAAGCCTAATGTTGATGTGAGTATAATTAGATAGAAGCTTCTACTAGCACAGTTTGACTTTACCATAGAAGATCGATCCGGCAAAAAGTATGATAATGCGAATTTGATGTCTAGTGCATATGATGAGGAATGAGATCAATCAGTGGATGAAACTTTTTTGGAAGAAGCCTTGTTGGTCATGGACACAATGACAAAGGTACCGGAGGAGTGCAAGGAAATTTGTCACTTGATCTATAGAGAAAAATTATCTCAAGGTATTCATTCAAGAGAGAGGATTGCATTGACGAAGAGATGTCAACCTTATATGATTATAGAAAAGATAAGGTTTCATCAAGGAGTTGAAGGACTTCTACGAAATGGAAACTGAAAAGGAGAAGCATTACAACTCATTAAGTAGTTTCATGAAGCACCAATATGTGGAGAATACTTTGCGAAGGAGTTAGTTGTCTTTAAGATTATATATGATGATTATCATTAGAAGGGTACTTTCAAAGATTTTGTGAAATTTTGCAAGAGTTATGATGTGTGTCAAGCTTTTGCTAAAAAATCCATGAAACCACTCCTTTGATTTCAATTCCACTTTTATGTCATTTTGAAAAATGGAGGATAGATTTTGTAAGTACTTTGAATCTTAT